AAAGAACAACTTAATTGTTTTCCTGGTAGTAATTTGGCTGGCTTCAGGTAGAGTAATTTCATTTTGTTTCTTGGTCCCTTTCAGCTTGTACCTCCTTTTAAACCTCAAGTGACATCTGAGACAGACACCAGGTATTTTGATGAAGAATTTACAGCTCAGACTATTACAATAACGCCGCCTGAAAAATGTAAGTCGGAAATTATGCATAAGCATAACTTAAAAATAATCAGTTTATAATAAAGCACCGTGTAAGGTTTTTTCTGTTTGCATGGAAAAGCTATTCTCACTGTTACTAGTAAAAATCTTCATATGGAAGCGTGTACGAGTAACTCTCAATGACAGCATTCTTTTAAAGAAGGAGTAATTACAAAGCCTAGAATGCTAGATCACTCTGGGTTGCGTTTTTGGGTTTTTCTTTTCTTTTTAAATAAGGGAAAACAGCAGCTTCAAATGTTTTCTGGTTGGCAGGTAAGGTCCCAATTCAGCAAAGTACTTGGAACATGGACCCTGCTTTAAGTATGTGGACGCTGCTAGCGGCTTCAGTGGGTTGTCTAGGTTTAGTGAGTTAGGCATATTTTAAAATACTTCGAAGACCAAAAGGAAAAAAAAAAAAAAACCCTGCCAGAGACAAGTGGATGTCTCTTGTGTAGATACCAATTACTTGAGAATGAAATTTCCTATCAAGTCCTGTGCTTCAGCAGAGCTCTTGAAGTTATTAATATAGATATAACTGCTGCATTGGGCCTTGCACAGACTTTCTTTGTTGGACTGAATGTAATTTTACCACAGTTTGTATTTTTGTCATCTTCTGCTACACACACAAGAATCATGATCTGATCGGCCAAGGTAGGGCTTAACAGAGTTACTTACCAAGCCAGAGCAGTTCAGATCTTGCTGCTGAGTTCTTGAATGAATTTCCTTTCCAAGTGAGTTGTTTTTTGTTTTTTTTTTTTTAAATTGGGGGATGGGGAAAGAGGATCATAAAGGTAGACAATAAAGGCTATAGTTAAGGTTGATTACCCGTTTTTGGTAACGGGTAAAAAAATGATTACTCATTTTTTGGTGTTTTAGGATTCCCAGGTTTAGCTGCAGTTTTCTGTTGGTATACAGATCTGGAGTATTTTCTGGATTTTGCGTTTGTAGTGTGTGAACACAGTCATTTAAGTGATTTCAAGTCTTCCTGCTGTGAAAAAAAATAACCCTTTCTTCTCCCATCTATCTTGAGAAGAATTTGTTCATATTTGTAATTTGAACAAACTTTGCTAAAATTTGGATTAACTCGGAGTCTGTTGATTCAGTATCCTAAAGTCATGACCTCTTGAAACTCCACATATGTGATGCGAATGGCTATTTATCCATCGAAGGTTGAAGCAATACAAAATATGTGGATGCTGCCAAGGCTTCAGCTTTAAATTTATTGAATTCAGAGCAGGTGATCGGTACCAACGCAGGGAAACGACCGACCTACCTAAAGTACCTACCTTGGCCTCTGGTAATGGTGCGGCTGCTGCAGCATGAAACTTAGCACAGGCTGCAGCCCCGCCCCAATCATAAGAATAATAAAATGGGGGGGACATGACCAGCAGCGGTGCAGAGATCAGCTGCGGCGTTGCTGGCAGGGCTGCCTCCCCTGCGGCTGCGGTAAGTAGCATCGCCAGCAGCACAAAGGTGAATTTTCTCTTGGGCCAAGTAGGTCTGGAAAACTGCTGCCATTTTTAGCGAACTGCGGTGGTTCAAGGGCCACATGGGGCTTTCCCTTTTCTGGGTATTGCAACAGGAAATGATTTTTAGTTATTTTTCTTTTAAAATCTACAAGTAACTGTATTATCTACGATACGGTATCACCTCTGCCTGATGTGACATGCAAAAGGGGGTTAAAATGTGTTTTGGGGATGGGGAGTTGGTAACCGTGTATCCGAAAGTTATTGCTGAACTAAAGATCTTTTATAGTTGCAGAAATAATTTTCATAACACTTAGGCCAGGTTATTTAGATATCAAAGTTTTACAAATCCCGCTAAGTGAATATTGAAACTATGTCTTGTATCTACAGTAATCAAACTGAGAGCAAACCAGACAAGCTCTGTGCATTAACCTAATTTAAATCGACAGTGTAAAAGGGAGATTGTATTTGAAGTTACAGGAACTGAGAGGCACTGGTGAAGTCAAGCAGCCTAATCATAGCAATTGCTCAAACCTGCATGAACTCTAGTTTTTATATGTAGAATATATGGAGATAAAAAAGATACATAATCCTGAAAGGTTGCATGTAAATACATTGTTAGAATAACAGTTTCAATAGCAGCCTTTAGGGGTAAGCACTGTTAAAAAAATCCATGTGAGAATGTAGATCCAAATTCTCAGAGTTAGGCAACATCTGGTGCCTGGTTTCCATTGGCACTACAGGAATTATGTAAATAAAAATATTTATGAATTTGGCTTAGTCTGTGTTTCCTCTGATCCCAGTAAATAGTGTAAAAGTAAATAGTTCACTAAAAAATAATATGTAAGAATTGAAACACATGGAACCTGCATGAATTGTTCATTTTGTAGCTGTTTTTCCTTTTAACCCCCTTCGAAATGGAGGAATATTTCAATATCTCTACAGTAAGATGATAATTTCCTGAACTCAGCTTAAGAAACAAGGGAAACTGGCTGCTTCCATCAGCAGTCGGTTTCTGTGCAGAAGCTAGATGTGCTGGCATGTTTTGATTAGCCTGGAAGGGGTAGTAATCACTGAAGTTCTCAGGTGGTAGTTATAAAAAACCGAACAAACCAACCAACCCACCCTGAAATAATAAATGGTGACTTACTGAAAGGATATCCTTTCAGTGAGCATCGTTCTGCCTTATGAGGATAAGCTTACGTGAATAAAGTCTTACGTCAACTTGAGCCTTTAACTTCAGCATTGAACCCTGAAAGGTGTTCTGCATATCGGGTGAATAAAAAAATTTTGTTGCAAATACAGTGACATTTTGAACTTCTCCCTTAATACAGATGACGAGGATGGTATGGACTGCATGGACAATGAGAGGCGGCCGCATTTCCCCCAGTTTTCCTACTCTGCAAGTGGACGAGAATAACTTTTTTGTTCTGCTGCTTCACTGTCATCCTAGGTTTATCACTGAAAATGATTCCTGAACATCACCACCAGTACTAGATACTATTTAAGGTAGCAGGGGCACTTTCAGAGACCATTCCAAATTGAACAAGTTTCTTTCCCAAACCTACCTGAAATCCATTTTGGTTTTGCATGAAATAGGAGATTTTCTCTACTACGCTCTCCTGCTGTTGCTGCTGCCCCCAGTCTCAGTATAATAGCAACGTCAAGAAGTTACTAACAGTTTCTTTGAAGGTAGATGACTTGACTTCAGCGTTGTACACTTTGTGCATAAGTAGTCATCTATTTTTCCTCACAGTGGAGGCTAAACAAAAAACGTGTTGGTCCAGCTTATCTTCTTCCAGAAGATGAATCAAAATTGTAATTAGTCTAAAAAGACTAGTCTGTAACATTTCTTGCATCTGTTTGTGCTGGTTAGAACAAGGAAACGTAGGGGTGGTGATGTACATATGCAAGGTTTTTGTTAGGCATATCATTACTTGAAGCAGGTCTCTGTCACTAACATCTGGCTGGAATTTGTTTGGGAAACGTTTGAGAGAAGGACTTAAACTGTTGATATATATAAATATATATATATATTATTTTTTAATTACTGTTGGATACTACAGAAGAAGCAGAAGGGCTGGGCTCACCCAGCCTGCCACTTAGAACTTCCAGGTTCATGTGCAATCATGGAGAATCGAACATTATACATGCAAGAAATGAAGGCATAAAAGCAGCAGTTGAAGTTGTTTAAGGGGTCTTATAATTTGCACCAGATAACATCTTTCTCATGCTTTTCTTTTTCTTTCATGATATACATCACCTGTGATGGCTGAAGAATGTAGACAGGCATAATGGTATTGCTTTTCACCAAAATGTGTGCACCAAGGTAAACAGGTGTTTGCCTTACTCGTTTTTATTTTGAGTTTGTGAATTAGCTTTTTCTCCAGGTGTTTAACTCTGAATACTCTTTTTCTTTTGGTTTTTGTTTTTGTTTTTTTTTTTGTTGTTGTTATACTGCAGTAGTATTTATTTTTAGAGATAAGGATTGTATGTGACATGTTTGCAAATGCTGCTACGTCTTAGATAGAACAGGCTTATAGCAGTTAATTTTGTAATATATGGAAGGACTGTACAAGCTGAAGGGAATAATGCACTTTTCTCCCACGTGGAAATTTTAACAAGGCTCTGAAATTGTACATACTGCTTAGAATCAGATTTTTGTGAATGAAATAGTGTCTTTTAATTGTTTGGCAATGGAGGTGAGGAATTCCAACTTCATGTGCCAAAGGGTTAAAAACAAACAGACAAAAAAAGCTCCATCTTGTGCTCCGTTGAGGATAAACGTAATGTAAGAGGAGCCTGACAGCACGGTAGAAGATTTCTGTTCTATATGAAGGAATTGAATTTGAACGACGAGACCACAGTGATTACAAGAAAAGCACTTTATTTTAATAATTAAAGTAGTAAATTTCTGGGATCAGCCGTTCTCAAGGAAGGTTTGCCCTCAACCAAAAGAGTCCTGAAACCCAGCACGTTACATGTAACCGTGGTACCCGATTGACTGAATTCAAAAACATCACGAGAAACGCTCCACTGATAGGAAAACGTCTTTCCATTTCCGAAGATCTGTATCTAACAGAACGTGTGCATGAACTTTAGCTTTGATCTTCAGCAATGATAATCTTAATAATAAACCCTTTGGTGCTAGGAGTCGGGACATTGCGCAGTGCGGTGATAGCGTGCACGTGCCCTTGGTAACGACATCTGCAAACCCCGACTCCATGGGATTATCATTCGAAGTATCTCTGCGTTCGGATCTTGTTAGCTCCCACGAAGACTGTGATATCGCAGCGTATTACTGGTTGCGTCGTGTGAATGAGTAGATGAGTCTGAAAGGAGAGATGTTCCTACGCAGATGCCTTAGCCTCTTGATGTGGAAAGTCGAGTGCCCTAGCATGAAGCCCACTGCTGGCAGTGCACGTGCTGGGACGGTCAAGGGGTCGACGGGCATTTTAGCAAGGCAGCTAAAGACGCAGACTAATTTAGACAATTTTTCGTGTGTCGTGTTTTATCTTTAGTAATGGATGGATAATCAGTCAGAAATGTATCATGATGTATATTCTAACTAGGTAGGATCTCATTCTGTCACCTTGTAACACTAAACACTTGTAGAGAGGATCGCTCTACGGAGAGAGGGGAGCACAGCAAATGCGCTGCAGGTCTGTTGCGCACCGGTGGTGCAGAGGTGTCTACACTGACACGGTGAGCGAGTGACTGAAAAAACCCAGTGCTTAATAGACGGGCATTAATTAGATCTCTGCAAAGGCCTCGTACGTGCAGACTAAAACTATGGTGATTCAAAATCTGTGTTATACGCCTGTGTTTTTTCCCCCATGTTTTCGGCTTGTAATAGCAATAAGTTTCTTGACGCAGGGCACCTCTAGCTAATGACCGACCGGCGCTGTGCCTCTGGCCAGCCGTCCCTCGCGTGCAGAAGAAACCCTG